TCCAGAATAATCTCCCATCTCAAGATCCTTAATATAATCACCTCTGCAAAATCCCTTTTTCTGTGTCAAGTAACATATTCACAAGTTCTGGAATTAGGATAGGAGTGGACATCTTTGGGAGCCATTATTCTGCCTACAGAAGGGGACAGAAGATAGTCTTTTCAACAGATGGTGCTGGATCTATTTTGTACCCATAGGGGAAAAGTCATCCTTGATCCCTGCCTCGTAACATAGAAGACAAACACGTACCAGTTCCAAATGATCATAAGCCTAAATGTGAAAGAAAGAACAATTTAAGTTTCCAGAATAAAACATATGAGAATATCTTCATGACTTTAGGGTAGCAAAGATTTCTTCAGTCACAAAAAGCACTCACCAAAAAAGAGATTAAATCATTAAAATTAGGAACTTCTATTCATCAAAAGACACCATGAAGAGTTGAAAAAGTAATCCACTGAATGGGAGAAAATGCTTGAAATATAAATATCTGACTAAGGTCCCTCTATCCAGGATATACAAAGAACTCTTACAAATCAATAAGAAAAAGAGAGATGACCCAATGGAGAAATAGACAAAAAACTATCCTTACACAGGCACTTCACAAAAGAGGAGGTCCAAATAGTCAAAAGCACATGAAAAAGTGCCTCAGAATTCTTAGCCATGAAAGGAATGCAAAATGAAACCACAATATGCCCCACAGCTTCCAGAATTACAATCACAATAAGTACACAACCAAGGATTGATGGGGATATTGAGTGACTCCTGCTCTGCTGGTGGTGGGGTAAGCTGGTAAAACCATTTTGGAAAACCGTTTCCAAATGTTGAACTTAAGTACACCCTCTAACCAGCAATTCTGCTCCTGTCAAAGGCATCCGTGTGTGCAACAACAAAGGCAGCCACGTATGAGAATACCAGTAGCAACGTTATTCATAATGGCCAAAAATTGAGGGTCCATCAACCTTATCGTTGATAAACAAGTTGTGGTATACTCATATAATGAAATATTGCATAGCAATGAAAAATAACAAACTACTGTTACCCACAACAACGCTGATGAATTTGATAGACATAATGTTAAGTGCAAGTAGCCAGATAAAAAAAAGTATACCCTCTTTGATTCCATTTATATAAAGCGAAACAACAGACAAAACTGATTTTTGGCAGAAGTCAGAGTAGAGGGTATCTCTGAGAAGGGGTGATCTCAGAGTGGGCACGAGGAGGCTTCTGGAGCTGGCAGCCTTCTGCCTTGATTGGAGTGGGGGTTGCATGGGTGTGTGCATAATGGAAAAACACTTTAGACTGAACACTTAGGACTTGGGCACTTCCCTTTACTTTACATACACTGAAGTAAAATTAAAAGTTAATTTTAAAACTAAAACTTTTAATTTAAAAAGTTTACAAAAATATACTTTTGCAGTCATGCTGACCGAGCAATCCAGCTTCTAGAGATCTGTCCTTGAATTTGTTATGATTAAGTTCAGCTTTATATACAGAAACTCCTTCAAATGACAGTGGCTGAGAAAAAGATAGATGTTTTCTCGCTCTTATATAAAACAAGTCCAAGGTGGGCAGTCCAGGCTCCTTTCTTTCCATTCCATCACCCACAGTGCTTGGCAGGCAGAAGGAAGCAGAAGGGTACAGGGGCCACCTTCGCTGTAAAGACCTTTCACCTTAAGTCCCAGTTCTAGCTTCAAGGGAGGCTGGTGAATACAGTGTTTTCCAGTAAACTCAGTAAAACCAGGGTTCTGTTATGAAAAGGCAAGGACAGAATGGTTATTGCTGTAGGGAGCCAGTAGGCTCAAGCTTAGTCCCACAGACACCATTCTTGGGTTCTCAAGATGCAAAGGCACATCCCTTCCATGCCCCAGCCCAGGGCCACCACCTTGGTCACATAGGTTGTCCCAACGGGGGGAGAAGGGGCTAGAGGCCAACCCCTGCTCCTGCTGCTGCACGTGCCTGGCTAAGGCTGCTTCCAGCTGGAGGAAGGTGCACCTTTTCCCACAGGTACTCAAAGGTGTCCTGGCCCGTCTCCTGCAAGCACCTTGCCCTCCATCCTTGCCTCAGGGTCTTCTCCTGGGCTCACACCCTAGCCCTTGCTGTGGCCAATAAGAACAAGCCACCCACCACCCCTGTTGTGAGCATCCCTTTCTTGCCAGCTGGCTTGCTCTGGTACCTGATTTCAAATTCCCTTCAGACTCAGCAGGCCCTACAGGCCAGTGACTGTGCCGCCTTTCACCATCCCAAGATGCCCCCACCTCCTCCTCCCTTCCTCTCTTGCACACACCTTGACTCCACTGTTCCTCTCTTCTTTCATCACACTTCTGGGCAAAATCCCAACCCAATCTAATTTAACTCCACCTGCTCTGTACCTGAGCATGGCTGGAGTACAGCACACAGCCCTGCCACGGCTTCCTCCGGTACCCTGACCCCTAACCCGATCCCCTAACCCAATCTCTAACCTGACTCCCTAACCCAGTCCCTAATCTGACCCCTAACCTGATTCTCTAAACTCCCTAACTGGGGCACTCGTGCTGCCTGGACATCCCATCCTGTTTCTCTTGACTCTCTCACTTCTATACATGCAGAGCAACCGTGGAAGGTTATGTATGATTTGTGGGGAGCATAGGGAAGAGGAAAAGGGAGCCCCCAAAATAAGAGACAAGAGAGAAAGAAAAAGGCAAAAAGACTCCATGACATTAAAACAAACCTGCTATGCCATGATTCTGCGCACCTGGACTGTTGCATGAAGAGATGCAGGACAGGCAGGCGGCCTTTCATTTGGCATTCAGGGTATGCATGGCAAGCTTTGAGATGCCAGATTTCTACTTGTTTCTTTATACTTTTTATAAACTTGAAATGGCTACACCATGCACACGTTCTTTAAATAACCAGAAGAACCAATGAAGTTATTTTGATTGTTGAAAAATGAATTTTTCTAACACCCCACCCTTTGGGCTGCAGAGAGCATCACAGATGGTGCCCAAAAGTCCCCAACACAGCGCCGACCCCTCTATGGAAAACCTATTGTTGGCTACTTCTCCCATCCCACCTGACGGGGCCAGGGGTAAGTCATCCCAAGGGCAGGTGAGCAGTGTTGTACATTTCCTCACACCTGGTTCCTTGGGCAATACAGAGGCGGCTGGGGCCTCCCCTGTCCAGTACCCTTCAAAGTCCTGCAAACGGACACTTTTTTTTTTTAAATTTATTTATTTTTCCCCCAAAGCCCCAGTAGATAGTTGTATGTCACAGCTGCACATCCTTCTAGTTGCTGTATGTGGGACGCTGCCTCATCATGGCCAGAGAAGCGGTGAGTCGGTGTGCGCCCGGGATCTGAACCCGGGCCGTCAGCAGCGGAGCACATGCACTTAACCGCTAAGCCACGGGGCCGGCCCCAAACAGACACTCTTGCTCTTCTGTTGGTCACTACCTCCTGCTCAGCCCCGTCTCTGGTGATTTGGGATCCCAAAGCATTGTCTGGGACCAGCTTTCTCCCCTGCTCTGTGGGGCCTCCCTCCCTGCCTCTGGATGGCTTTAGGACAGTCTTTGAGAGCTCAGGGCAATGTCAGCTACAAGTACTACGACAAGCATAGTCCTACATTTTGGGCATTAAAAGGCCAGTCCTTTCTGACCCTGAGCGCCTGTCTGCCCTGGCACAGGCCTGACCCTGGATGGGGGGACAAGGACTGTTTTTCCTTATCCCCCTTTGAATCCTGGGGGATGGGTAGGGAAGGGCCCTGGCTTTATGGTTTGTTGGCAGTGGAGGCCTTGATTTCAGGAATATGTGTGCTTAGATTAACTCTGCATTTGACCTCTATAGCGCTCACTGCCCAATGCCAATACAGGCACTTTATGTCATCTTCAAAGTGCCCTGCACTAACTAGAGCCACCTTCTCCCACCTCAGATGAGGACTCCAGGCCCATCCCGGTTCAGCACCTGGCAGTTCTGGTTCAGGGTTCAGGAAAACCACCCCAGTCAAGCTACTTCTTCCAGATGGTGGGGACTGAGTGTTGGGGGAGCTGCTGAAGACTGGGGAGCCTGCTGGGATCAGGAGTTCCACGCTCATGCACCGAGAACAGATATACACGGAGTGTACTGCAGGACCCTCACCAAGCGGTGCCCTGGCATTACATTAGTGAACAAGACAGGCGGATGGGGTGAGAAGGATGGAAAAGACCTTCCAGGCAGAGGACCTGAGAGGAGCAAAGGCTGGGAAGTGAGAAGTAATGCGGTGAGGCCAGGGAACGGCCTGGTGCCCACTGGGTTGGGGTGCAGGCTGGTGGGAGTGGCCTGCTGGGGAAGACCGCGTTCCGGTGAGCCCCAGGAGCCGCCGATCCTCACCTTTCCCCGCGTCTGCTCTCCCCGCGTCACCTCATCGACCCTCCCACGCCCGTCGCGAACGTGACCCCATGTCAGGGAAGGGAAGGAAGGAGCTCGAACATCACGGCTGCCCGGAGAGGAGACTTCTGGGAGCAGGTGCTTGAGCGGTCAGCCGGGCGGACCCGCGGGCTCGGCCCAGCCCAGGCGGGAATCCCGGAGGCGAGCCAGGCCCCCGCGTCCCTGTCGCGGACTGGGGGTGGCGCAGGCCAGAGCAGAATGACGGGCGGTCGGGCGGCCGCGGCGCGAAAGTCTGCGTTGGGAAGGCCGCCCTGGACCACGGGGGGCCCTCTCCCACACGTCCCCGGAATCGTTTTGCTGCGTGTCGGTGCAGGGCTGGGTCCCACTCGGTTGCCGGCTCCCTCGCCGGCGCCCTGAGGCGAGAGGGCCCGCCACGTATGCGCTGCCGGCTCCCCTAACCTGTGCGGCCGTCGCGCAGGGCAGACGGCGCGACGGCAACCACAGCGCAGCGCGCCGGCAGGGCCAGGCCGCCCGGTGCACGCCGGAACCTGTAGTTCGCGGCGGCGCAGTGCACACCGGGACCGGTAGTCGGCCGAGGCGCCGCCCCTCACCTGGCCGGCGGCGGGCGCACGAGGGGCCCAATGGGAGCGGCGGCCTGGCCGCCCCGCCCCGCAACGCCGGACGTCTGTGCCGGGGCATGGCCGCCGCCGGTGCCGGGCTCTTAAGCTGAGCGCCCGCCTCGGGGAGCCAACCGCCGCCCTCAATCGTCCGCGCGAGGGCTGTGGCGCCGCCGGGCCGGCTAGGAGCCGCGGCCGCCGCGGAGGAGGAGGAGGCAGCAGGCGGCCGGAGAGGCCGCCGCGGCCGGGCGCATGGCGTCCATCTTACTCAGGAGCTGCCGCGGCCGGGGGCCCGCCTGCCTCCCGCCGCCTCGCGCCGTCGCCCCGAGGGGTAAGCGGCCGGCTCTCTGCCGAGGGCGCGGGGCGTGGGCTGGTGGCCGGGGGTAGGGGACTGGAGGACGGGGCCGGGGTCGGTGAGGGGACAGGGGCCGGGGAGGGCCGAGAGGAGGGCTGGAGGTGGAGGAGAGCCGGGCGGAAGCAGAGAGGGGCCGGGGGCTGGGGGCCAGGGCCAAGACGGGCGGAGCGGAGAGAGCCTCGGTCCGGCAGCCCCACGGCGCCCCCAAGGCTGGGCTGCTCCCGCTGGGTAGGGGCGCTCGGACGAGCCCGGGACTGGGGTCACGCCGGGCTAGTGTCACTCCCGGCAGGGACCTTGGGCAGTCCTGCCCTTCCGCCCCGCCCTGACCGACCCGCTGCCGGGGCGTGGTGAGCGTTCGGGCCGTGGGGGCCGTGCGCGCGGGGCGGCCCGGCCCGGGCCGCGGCTTGTGACTCACTCGCTCTGTGACCTTAGTCGCCCGGCCGCTGGCCGCTGCTTCGTGAGCAGGGAAAGTTTTGAAGGGAGCGCGCTAGGACGGTCTCAGCGCTCCTTTTGTGGTTAAGGTCGGTGGAACGTGGCGCCCACTCACGAGGACAGTCGTGCCCTTTGGCCACGTTCAGGGCTTCTGAGATGAGGTGGCCGGGGGCTGGCAGACGCTGGCGAGCAGGCCCTGCGGGCTTGCAAGACGTCCGTGGGGCTGATATCCTTATGATGTTATTGGGCCTCTGTAGAGTCTCCAGGTCTTGCGGTGCATGGCCTGGGGCAGGTCCCTTTGTACGTGGAGCCTCAGTGACGGCACCTGTGACATAGAGATCGGGGCTATTAGGAGTCCACATGTAGGGCGCCAGAACTCTCCTTCACTCCCTCTCTCCTCTCTTTCTCTTTTTACATTAACCTTTCTGAGCTCGTTTCTTATTTGTAAGATTGGAGTAAAGATAAAACTTTCCATATAAAATTGAGAGACTCAAATAAAATACTATATTTCAAGATGCTTTTCAGTTTACAAAGGCACTCTAAGAAACGTGACTCTTGTAATTTTTAACAGTAGTGGCTGGTTGGCTGCTTAGACCTTTGGAGCTGTGGAAAGGGCATTGAGCAGCGAGAACTGACTGTGTGTGAACTCTTGGGTGTCCAGTCCAGCTTTTAGTCTCTCCCTCTGCTGTCAGAGCTCTCTCTGTATCTCTTGCCTGTTAAGGATGGTGATAATAATACTTTGGCCACTTCACATTTCTGTAGCGTGTTTATGGATGAGAAGTTAGCTGAATTTGTTTTGTGGTTGTATTATTCTGGGACCACAAATGTTTCCTGAAGTTATCACGGTTCTTTATTACACAGACACGAAGGGGCTGAGAGAGAGTGAGTTTGCTGCAGGAGCAACAGGGAATCCAGAGCCTGTGGGACCCAGGGCTGGACAGTGGGGAGCAGGTCCCTGAACCGTCAGAAATGACACTCCTGGCTGGCTGGGCATGGCAGCTCTTGTCTGGTGCACATTTCTCCTGTTGTTAGCGTCTTGCGTGAGTATGGCTCATTGTCACAGTCATGAGCCAGTGCTGACCTGTTGTTAACAGGTCCATGCAGTATTCAGATTGCCTTTCTTCTCTCCCATACCCTGCTCTGATCTCTTTTTCTGTTACGTGCTTTTCCTTTATCTGCACACACTTTATTCTGATGTCCTTTTTTGTCCCAGGACACCTCCAGCATACCACGTTACCATTAGTCGCCATTTCTCTTTAGTCTCCTCTTGGTGGTGACAGTTTCTCAGACTTCCCTTGAGAGTTTTGAGGAGGACTGGTCAGATATGTTGTAAGATGCCCCTCTATTGGGATTTGTCTGATGTTTTTCTCATGGTTAAACTGGGGTTATGGGTTTTGTGGGTAAGGCCACAGAGGTGAAGTGTCCTTCTTATCACATCCTATCACATCCCTAGCAATGTGATTTATCACAGTTGATGTTGACCTTGCTCACCTGGCTGAGGTGTGTCTGGCAGGTCTCTGCTCTGGGGTTACTCTTTTCCCACTCTCCACACTGTGCTCTTTGGGAGGAAGTCGCTCTGTGGGGCACATACTTAGGAGTAGGCTAGGGCTCTGTAGAGGTGGGCTGACCGGATTTGCCAAGGACAGGGTGTGAGAGCAGCCAGGGCCTGGCATTTGGCCATTATTGAAACAGGAGGACTTGGGGAGGAGCAGGCGGGGGGAAGCCGGGAGTTCTTGGAGCTGTTGAATGTGAGGTGCCATCCGGCCTCCAGGTCTTATGTACCCACAGGTATTCAGATACAGAGTGCTGAGGGAGGATCTGGAGGTGGGTAGAGAGGATCCTGCCAGGAACAGCTGGGGAGAATCTGGAGAGTGTGGTTTCCTGGAAGATAGGTAAAGAAAGGTGTGGGATACAAAGAAACATATTTGGTCTCTGTCTCTGGTCCCCAGTTCCTGGCTGAGCTCCTAAAACCCTTCGTATTTCTGGAGTGATAAGAATGGCTTTTGTTCTTCATAATGAGCCCCTTTCTGTCATATCTGAGTTCATGCTAACGAAGAACCTATGATTAGAGGGTTGGACCTTCCAGCCCCACCCCTAACCTCCAGGGAGGGGAGGGCATCTGGAGACTGAGTTAGATTGCCATTAGCCAAGGTTATATTCAATCATGCCTAGGTAATGAAGATAAAAACTCTTGAACAGGGAGGCTTGGGGAATTTCTGGGTTGGTGGCGCATGCCGACCCGACGGAGACAAAGGCTCTTGCACTCAGGACTCTTCCGGACCTCCAGCTATGTACCTCTTCGTCTGGCTGTTCATCTGTATCCTTTGTAATAAACTATAATAGTAAGTAGAGCACTTTGCTGAGTTCTGTGTTATTCCAGCAAATTATCAAAACTGAGAGGGTTGTGGGAACCCCTGAATTTGTAGTTGGCAAAAATGTGGGTAGCCTGAGGACCCTTCTTGCAACTGGTGTCTCAAGTTGGGGCAGCCTTGTGGGACTGAGCCCTTACTTAACCTGTGGGTCTGCACTCATGCTGCGGAGAATCAGAATTGAATTGTAGGAAAAAAAACCAAAAAAAACGAATTGAATTGTAGGATGCCCAGCTAGTGTCGCAGTGGGAGCGTTGAATTGGTTGTTGGAAAAAAGACACAACAAAACGGCTTCCAGAAGGAGGGAGTGGCCCCTGGACCACATCCGTGCAGAGGAAGAGGAGGACACGGCCTTCAGAGTGGGGAGAGCATGGGAAGGGAGCAGGTAGGACAGAGGGCGTACGAGTTCATGGAGCTTAGAGATGAGGGGCCGGCCAGGGAGCTCTGGGAGCTGTGACAGCTTGTCTGCTTGCTGGGGGCAGTGCACAGGGCAGGGCGCCATTTCTGAGCTAAGTTGTTGAGGTGAGCGCCTGGCCCAGGGCAGGGGTGGAGGGGACAGGCACAGGTTGGGGGAGGCTTCTGTTTGGGAGACAATGAGGGCAGGTCCTCAGCTAGAATGAGAAGGGCTAGTGTGCTCTTTGCCACTTGCTTTTTAATTTTAACTGAAAATGTAACATTGAAATATAAAAGATTATTTTATAAATCATGGTGAGTGAACACTCATGAGCCCAGCCCCCAACTTAAAACCAGGCTGTCACCTGTATTACACGGTCCCAAGTTTAATGTTTAATACCCTTCTGCACAGGATGTGAGAGTTGCCCATGATGAGACTGGCCCTCTTATTTGAATTACATAGTGACAAGTGGAAGTCCTTGTCCCCAGAGGGTCCACTGGGAGCAGCTTGGGTCTACCCTGCCTGGCCTGCTCTGAGGGTGTCCAGGAGTTGGCATGTGTCCCCTGCCTTGTCCATCTTCTCTCTCCCCTTTTCACACTGGCTCCCAGAGTGAGCCCTCAGCAACCCAAACCTGCTCTGGGCACTCCTGCTGCCTGAAGGGTCTTATGATGCCAGCCGGCCTTTCCAGGCTCACTGCCTGGCATCTCATGGGGATGGCGCCTCTGGCCCTGCCACCCCCAATATCTGTCTTGTCCCCTCCAGAAGCTGTTTCCCAAGCACAGGGTTTGATCACAGGCCCAAATGTTGGTCATGTAAATGAACTGTGAATTTATGCTTATGGAAACTAGAGTGGGTTAGGGAAAGTGTCAGAATACATCAAAATGCTAAAAATGTGCTGTACACTTGTTGATATTGTTTATCCAAGAAATGGCTTACTTTTGGCTTTATTTTTCTAGTAATTCTCGTGGCCCTCGCCCCCTAGTGTGGGCAGAGAGGGCGTTGGGTCATTTGGACAGGGCCCTCGCTTGCTCTGTGGGGCTGTCTGTGCGCCGGGGGTCATGTGCATCCTGGGCTCTGCCCACTAGAGCCAGCTAGAGTAAATGGGGAATGGTCCCACCTGGGGAGACCCACAGGCCCACACGCCCTGGGCCCTTGGCTGATGGAGCCTGGTGCCCACACTTGGGGTGCATGGAGCCAGGGGCTGCCTCAGGCTACCCCTCTTCCCTAGGGGTACCCCAAGAAACTATGTTCCTAACTGGGGCAGACCCTTCACTTAGCAACACTCTGAAACCTTCCAACACTCAGAACAGGCTTCCAGATACTCTACAAAAGAAATGGGCACTTTTTCAGACTAAAAGACAGTATCAGTGTAAAGCACCTGTTTTGAGACTTATTTTCTTGTTTTTTTCTTGTTTTTGTCATAGGTAGTCTGGGGGATCGTGCTTGTCTCAGTTGTGCCAACACCGTGGGGTTGATAAGCTGCGTGTAAGTAAATAAATGTCACTTTCTCCCTATTTGAAAGTGGGAGCCTGAAAATGCTCAAGTGGTGTGTGACTCTGAATTTTGGGGAAGACAGTATATCCTACTTTCCTGTTCTTTGTTTTTGTTTATTTCAAACCTTTATCTTTTCCTTTTGAAATATATAACCGCATACGTTAGTGAATCTTTGGAAAATAAATGAACTCGTGATCCCAGTACCTGTTACAAATGTTAGTAGTGTTTTGATGTATTTTATTCTGGTTTTTTTTCTTATGTATCCGTTTTTAAAACATAGAGTGGTAACCACAGTCTATATATATATTGTGTATTTAATGTGACAGATCTTTTCCATACTTACATGGCTGCGATTTTCAGCGGATTTCCATGTATTTGTGCAAAAAAAACGTTGGAAGTGCCAGGCAGCATTGTTGGTTTTGGGCTCGATCAGTGAGCACACAGACCCTTCCTTGTACCACATTCCGTCCTTCACAGAGCATCATGTTGAACCAGTGCTGGCCGTAGGGCTCGCCCCCACCTGGTTCTGGGGACGTGGTAGATTTAGCTCTTCCCTGTGGTAGGAGGTCTGTGGTACTGTTGCAAGGCTGGAGGTCTTCCTGGAGGGAGTGGCAACCAAACTTCCCTGTCCACTGTCACACACGGACTTGAACTTACCTTGGAGCTGCTGTGTTCTCCCACTCGCCATCCCCGCTACCCGGCATCCTCGTGGTCTCCTTCTGATCCCCCTCACCTATCTGGTGGGATGCCCACACCTCTCTCCTGGCACCAGGTCTGTGTCCACCTGCCCCAGACACCCAGAGTGGAGCTCATCTCTCCCTTCCAGTATCCCAGATTCTTTCTGTTCGAGAGTATAGGACCTTCTTCCCAAGTGCTGTCCGTCTGGCCCCTCACAGCCCCTTACCCATGGAGCTGTGAGGTCTTTTGGGTTTTCTTACTCATTTGAGATTAATTTGTCACCTCATCTTGGCTATAAAACTTTTCTGGAGGATGCTTCCTGGGAAATATTTAATTCCCTAAAATGAAAACTACACAAGTCATATGTGAAAAATTGGTTGTTATTAAAGCAAAATCGTGCTTAAACATATTTTCAGTTTTATGGCTTTTATAAAGTGCTAAAATGAGCAGCCAGCCACACGTGGCTGTTCGTGCATGTGCAGGTGTCTCTGTGTAATTGATGCATGTGCAGTGTTTGGTGGGGACACAACAAAGTCTGTTTAAAACTCCTCCCAGGGGGCCGGCCCTGTGGCTTAGCAGTTAAGTGCATGCACTCCGCTACTGGCGGCCCAGGATCGGACCTCGGGTGTGCACCGACGCACCGCTTGTCCGGCAATGCTGAGGCGGCATCCCACGTACAGCAACTAGCAGGATGTGCATCTACGACATACACCAATCTACTGGGGCTTTGGGGAGAAAAAGGGAAAAAAAGGAGGAGGATTGGCAGTAGATGTTAGCCCAGGGCCAGTCTTCCTCAGCAAAAAGAGGAGGATTGGCATGGATGTTAGCTCAGGGCTGATCTTTCTCACAAAAGAAAAGAAAAAAAAAAAACTCCCAGCAGCAGCCCCTGCGGGCCCAGTTGCTGCCAGAGTGCTGTCTCCCAGCTCTTGGCTTTGGTCTTAATTAGGTTTCTCTTCTGATAGTCACAGACTTTGCTGTCATGAAATATTTCTTTTTATGACGTGGAGCCATTGACATATGAGTGTAGAACATCTTTACTCTTGCTGAAGTGTGCTTTTCTAGATTTCATTCCAAAGTGAACTCTGTAATCTGCAGGTAGCATTTCAGGGACCTGGAGACCAGCGGGTGGCTGTAAACAGAGTGGCGAGTGACCCGGGGCTGCAATCATGGTTGCCGTGTAGGATGTGGCCCCTCAGGGCCAGCTCTTGGGGTTTTTCAAGATAAGTTGGAAGTCTAGGTTTTCGTGTCAAGTCTTTGAGGTTAGAGGACTGCTGCATGGACCTACTGCAGCCCCGTGTAGACTGGGCTCACTTGCGTGAACCACCCCAGGGGTGTGGACTGGGCTCCCCTGCGTGAACCACCCCAGGGGTGTGGACTGGGCTCCCCTGCGTGAACCACCCCAGGGGTGTGGACTGGGCTCACCTGCATGAACCACCCCCCCCCCAGGAGTGTGGACTGGGCTCACCTGCGTGAACTACCCCCAGGAGTGTGGGGGCCGTTCACCTGCATGAACCACCCCAGGTGTGTGGGGTCTGGCACTATGGATCAGTGACGCCAGCAGCTTGCAAGGCCGGCTGTGCCTGTCTCCCTCGAGTGGGGAGTCTGTCGTTCCTGGGCGCTCTGTACCTGTCATTTACCTCAGTGAGTTCTCTAGCTGGGTTTTTTTTTTTTTGTGAGGAAGATCAGCCCTGAGCTAACATCCATGTCAATCCTCCTCTTTTTGCTGAGGAAGACCGGCTCTGAGCTAACGTCTATTGCCAATCCTCCTTTTTTTTTTTTCCTTTTCCCCCCAAAGCCCCAGTAGATAGTTGTATGTCATAGTTGCACATCCTTCTAGTTGCTGTATGTGGCATGCGGCCTCAGCATGGCCGGAGAAGCGGTGCGTCGGTGCGCACCCGGGATCCAAACCCGGGCCATCAGTAGCGGAGTGCGCGTACTTAACCGCTAAGCCATGGGGCCGGCCCAAGCTGGCTTTTGTCTCCGAGGGATCAGGCCTCGCATGCCTCCTTATTGGACAGTCCTTCTAGATGAACTTTTGAATTATTTCAGTTCTGAAATTTTTTTGAAGAAGAAGATTGGCCCTGTGCTAACGTCTATTGCCAATCTTCCTCTTTTTCTTTTTTGTCCCCAAAGCCCCAGTACGTAGTTCTGTGTCATAGTTGTAGAATTGTAGCTCTTCTGTGTGGGATACCGCCTCAGCATGGCTTGAGCGGTGAGTGGGTCTGTGCCCAGGATCCGAACTGTCGAACCCTGGGCCACCGAAGCAGAATGCGCAAACTTAACTGCTATGCCACTGGGCCGGCCCCTGAAATGGTCTTTTGGGGATTGTAACTGGGATGCCATTAAACCCATAAAATTGTTTGGGAATATTTTAAAATTAAATGTAGTCTTTACAAGTGTAAGTTGTTTTCTTTATTAAGGCCTTTTCTCTCAGAAAAAGGTGTCATTTTCTTTACATAGGCCACATGCATTGCCTTTAAGACACTTTCCAGATGTGTTCTATTTGGTGGTGTTAACGAGCCTACCTTTTCATTATCTTTTCTAAGTGATTGTTACTGGCGTGTAAGGTACTAATTTCTGTATGTTTTCTTGTGTCTGGCCACTTCACACAGTTCCATTGATTATTTTTTAGCTTATATTGTAACACATTTTAATTAATGGTCGTGGATCTTCCTAGTGCACAATAATAATTTTTTGTCTCTTCCTTCCCAGTGCATTTAGCTTCTGTTGGGGTTTTAGCTCTTATCTCGGTAGCCAGATCTGTTATCAGAAGAGCTGTAGTCAATCATGCATTATCACAACAGCAAAAAATAGAGTACCGAGTGTTTACTTATGTTAGCTTCTGTTTTTGAGTACTCTTTGCTGTGTCTGTTTATTATTTTAAAGTGTTTTTATTAGGAATGGATGTTGAATTTGTTGAGCGCCTTTCAAGATTCAAATGCCCTTGCATTTAAGATTCATATTAAAACATAAAAGCTGTGCTTTATTTATAAGTTCGCACAATTTTTGTAAAGTTTACTCTTTGTTTAGAAAGTTAAACAGTGAGAACTGTAAAGCTGTTTGGCTGAACTCATACCCTTCAAATTAGGGATTATAGGTGAGAGTTGAGACTCATGTCGGTTTCAGCATCCAAAACATTTGATTGTTTTTTTGATCATACAGTATAAGAAATGTTGAGATAAGTAGTTGCAAGTGGTAACTATTTGTATTAGTTTTTTTAACTGTTACTTTGCAACCTCAATCTTCAGTTGAAATCGTCCAGATCCCTGAAGGGTGAGAGTTTATGATTCAAGAGAACATCATGGATATCATTTGGCAGCACCTGACTTCCTTTATCATAGAAAGAGAGACAGAGAGGAAGCACCCGAAACTGCATAAGCAGTCAAACTGTAACACAGCAGCTTTGAAACCCAGCATTTGCTGAATCTCGTTCAGTGGGAAAACCTGAGCTGATATGAGGCTGTTCCTCTTCTTAAGCCTCCCATAGTGTGAGTGCTCATAAAATTTGCTGCAGAAATATTAATGTGTTGCTGACAGGTACTGCCCTGGCCCCTGGGGGTGCTCCGGGCACATGGCACGCTGGGTATCATGTGGCCTGAAGGGCTCCAATAGGTGTTGAGGTGTTGTGGGCAGTGGTCTCCAGTTCCCCAGCTGAGGGGCACGTGTCCTGCAGGCAGACATGGTTTCACCTCTTGTCTCTGGGCAGAGAGGTGTCTTGCGCTTCTGGAATCATGCCCCTTGGTGGTGGTGCCTCTTGCTCCATCTGTCCTTCCCTTTCTTGTTGCTGGGGTCACTTTGCCCCTGCTAGCATTGTGTCCCTAGAGAACTGAGGGTGGCACGTTGAGGGTTGCATCCTCCCTGACCCAGCCTCAAGCCATTGTCTTGGCAAGTTGTCCGCTTGGGAAGGGGACATGTTACCATGAGTTCAGTGGCCCACAGGCATTGTGCCTGTGGCATTTTCCCAACCGTTTGCAAGAGTGAAGCAGTGCTGTGGTGGACAGGGGGTCTGGGTCTCTGCACCCAGCTCCCAGTGCCTGCTGTCCAGTGGTTGTGCAGCTGATGCCAGCACAGGAAATGCTCTGAACCCGTGAACGCTGTTCCTCTGCCAGGCACTACTTAGCTTTTCTCTTCTTGAAGGTGACGGCAAATGTCCAGGTTGAAATGGACATAGGAGTCAGCATCCTAAAGTAAAACAAGCGACTTGAACAGAAATCTCGAGCTTTTTTTTTTAAATTTTATTTATTTATTTCTTTTTCCCCAAAGCCCCAGTAGATAGTTGTATGTCATAGTTTCACATCCTTCTAGTTGCTGTATGTGGGACGCTTCAGCATGGCCGGAGAAGCGGTGCGTTGGTGTGCGCCCGGGATCCGAACCCGGGCCGCCAGCAGCGGAGCACACGCACTTAACCGCTAAGCCACGGGGTCGGCCCTCTCGAGCTTTTCAACAGGAACGAACAAAGCCTTCCTCTGGGGACCATGTGTTTCTGTTATTATGTTGCTTTTACCCAGAGAGTTTTTCCCCCCACTTTGAAGATGATTTATCAAAAAAAAAAAAAAAAGGAAGGCCAAGAAACAGCAGGAGAAGCTCGGTGACTGGATGGTGGGAAGCTGGGCCCCGTGGCCCCATGCAGGTGAGCCAACTGGGCACTTGTCAGGAGCAGTGCCAACGCTGTGGGCTCTGGCAGGTTGGAGCAGAGCACGATTGGCCTTCTCAATGACGGGGTCTGTCCCAGATGCCCTCAGGAAGACAGCAGTGCCCAGATTAGTTTTGTTTTGTTGGAAATTTTTTGAATAATAAATTATGCAATTTTATGCCTTTTGAAAATAGCTAAACCTTTCTGGCTAGATGGTTAGTAATAATACTCTGTCTAGTGTGCTTGAAGACAGCCAGATCTCGGGGCCTCACAGGCCTTTACCGGGCGTGCCATGTGCTTTCCACTTGGTCTGTTTTCACGTGTCTCTGCCTTTGCCTGTTGGCTGCCCCTTGTGACTGCTGACATTACGCCTTCTCGTGGAAGCCACTTGCTTCTTGCTAATTGAGGGTTGGGAAATTGGATAATTAAGCTTGATGAAGATGGGAGGTAAGGTTTATTTCTGGGTGGGCACTGTCATCACCTTCATTGAGAGGTGAGGCTAAGGCACAGAAGGCATGGGCTGTGGTCAGAGTCTTGCAGCTGCAAGTGGCCGAGGGGCAATCTGAGCCAGTGTCTCTACCGTGCTCTGTGCAGCCTGTCCCTTGGCCACTGTGACTCAGGACAGGGCAGGTTCAAGGGACCACCCCCCGTCCTGGCTCAGGTGTTGACTGTGGGGCTGAGGAGCTCGTGGGACAAGATTGATCCTGCTCTTTGAAGGCAGGATCAGAGGCTTGGCACAGAAGAGAAGTCAGCCGGGGGTCAGTTGGTGTGGGGCTGGTGGTGTCCTGTGCTAGCTGCACCCGTCCATTATAGGCTGCGAGCCGAGACGGGCGTGTTCCTGCTTGTCCTTCAGTATTCCCCACTTGTAAAAGCAGCAGCAAAATCAGACATTTCCCAGCTTTCTTCCAGCCTTGACTGGTGGCTTCTCAGCTGCTTTGATAGGACAGTTATAATAGCTGCCACTGCTGTGGTGGGTGTTGCTGTGCGCCGGACACCGTTCTGGGTACGTCGTGTATATTAGCACACACGTTTACCACAGCCATCCCCGAAGAACGAGGCCATCCCCGAGAACTTGCCCAAGGTCACACAGCAATAAGTAGTGGAGCTGGAATTTGAACTTGGACAATCTGCTCCAGAGCTCAAGTCCTCACTGCTGGTGTCAAGCCAGGTACAGAGAGATGATTGGACAGGTGTGAAGAAGCTGGGGTGTGTTGGTTATAAATTGCGTGCCTCTAAAATAAGTTGGACCCTGTGGCCACCCAGAGGTAGATTTGTGCATGAGCAGGGGAGAGGTTTCTAATGAGACAGGTGAGATAAGTAGAAAATTGTGAAACTAAAAGGGACTTGTATGGGTAAATGGTTCCATTATTGAACTGTAAGTGGCATTACATTGCCATGCTGCAGTTGGAAGAGTGTTTCTTCTTCACGCACAAACCCTGGGCTATGCCAGGCTCCTGCTGGCACTAAGAGCTTAGGAGGCCCAGCCCATGCTCCAGAAACTCAGACTGCAGTGGCCCTCCTCGTGTGGCCATTTTGCGAGTGGATACTGAATGGGCAGCTGGGTGGGGCCCAGAAGAGTAGACTGGCCTGCTCTGGTTGCCGGGGGTCCAGGCAGCCCTGTAGACTTCATACAGTGTGGACAGAGAAGGCTCTGAGGTTCTCATTGACAGAAGCCCCTGCAGCTTCTTGCTGTGGTTTGGAGGCAGCTCACGCCGGCTTCCTGCTAGGCCTCGTGGAGCCTGGGGTCTGGTGGGAGACAGAGCGTGTGCAGTGGATTTGAGAGTGGCATGCGCTAGGAGGACAACGCTGCAGGTCAGGGGGCCTGAGGGAGCCTGGGGCGGAGCCGCTGCCTGCAGGGCGTCCAGGCAGAGCATGGCTGCCAAGGGCCTGCCAGTGTGCCAGGGCGAGGAGGCCAGTGCTGGATCAGAGTGAGCAGCAAGGTGGAAGAGAGAAAGGAAATGGGCTTTGGGCTTTATTTGTCAAGTTTTTGCATTTGCACAAATGCCTTTGGTCAGCTGGTACGTGGGTCTAGGTCACCCTTGCTGGTTTTCAGGCCTTACTCAAGAACCATAGGTCTTTGTAGAAAGTCAGCTGTTAGAGGGAGAGACCCTCCAAACTCCACACTGCACCCCCCAAATTCCCAAAGCAGCACCACACACCTCCTCCTCTTTGGGAGCTGGCCTGTGAGACCCGCCCAGATGTTGAATCTGTCTAGTCCAGGGGTCAAGCTTTTGCTGTTTGTGTTTGTGTCCAGCCTGCCCCTTGAGCCCCTGCTCCCGCCCCGGGCTGCTGGGTGTCCTGGCATCCTCCATCAAGGCTGTGGGGACTGGCCATCCTGTGCTGCTCTTGAACGTGGGGCAGCTCTCACTGGTCTCTCGCACAAGCCCTTTCCGAGCAACTCCTTCCCCTCCAGCTCTGGAGGGGAAGGGCTCCCCCAGATGTGTTTTTCTGGCATCAGGAAGCAGTAGGAGTCTGTTTTATATGCCGGGGAAATTGGGTATTTGGTTATGATACGGCTGTGGTCTGGGTCACTCTTGGTATTTGGTGCTGGGAGGTCATAGAAAGTGGCTGGCCCCTCATCACTGTTTCCCTTTTTCTTTTTTTCAAGGAATGTTCCCTTTGGCTGCTGCGCTTCCGTCCACCCTGTGTACCTTTCCTTCAGAGGGGATCCCTTCAGCTGTTGGACTCGGAGGCCTGAGCGCATGTGCACAGTGACCCGAGCACAGTGGGCCCCTGCCTCGGCGGGTCTGGTTCTCACGGGACCACAGTTCCTTCCTTTGCGCTGCTGGCACTCGTCGCCCCCACTGAGTGAGGACTCCGTGGTGGAAAAGTCCCTGAAGTCCTTAAAGGACAAGAACAAGAAGCTAGAGGAGGGAGGCCCTGTGTACAGCCCCCCGACGGAGGTGGCTGTGAAGAAGTCCCTGGGGCAGAGGGTCCTGGACGAGCTGAAGCACTACTACCACGGCTTCCGCCTGCTCTGGATCGACACCAAGATCGCCGCGCGCATGCTCTGGCGGATCCTCAACGGCCACAGCCTGAGCCGCCGCGAGCGCAGGCAGGTAATGGGCATGTGTGTGATCCTGGTCGGTCACCTTTTAGTTGCTTTAAAATACTTTTAGGGCTTTTTTCCTGCTGCTTTTGGTTTAAAAAAAATTGGAAAAACCCGTGAAAAAGTGAACTTCCCCTGTAATGCCACCACTGAAATGCAACACTGCTAACATTTTGATGTCTCTTCTGCCAGACGTTTTTAACACACACGTATTTGTTTTCTCTCCATGTTTTGAGGTCGTTCCGCTGTCTTCTGGCTTCTCCTTTTGCTGTTAAGAGGTCTGTGTCTGCTCAATTGTATTTCTTTTGCAGGTGAACTGTCTTTTCCATCTCATCGCTTTCTGATCTCTGTCTTTAGGGCTGGGCACTTCCCTTCTGTGTGTTTGTTTTTATTTATTGTTTGGGATCTGAGCTCCTGATCCTGAGGTTTCATGCCTGTCATCAATTCCAGAACTTTCCCGCTTACCCTCTTTTGGGCCGTCAGAGCTTCTGGTAAGCGTTTGGTACACCAGCTCATTCTGTCATCCACAGCTCTTTTTTCTTTGTTAATTTTTATTTATTTATTTTTTTGGTGAGGAAGATTTTCCCTGAGCTAACTTTCTGTACCAGTCTTCCTCTATTTTGTATGTGGGTTGCCGCCACAGCATGGCTGACAAGTGGTGTAGGTCCATGCCCTGGATCCGAACCCGCAAACCCAAGCTGCTGAAGCAGAGCACACCGAACTTAACCACTACGCCATGGGCTGGCCCCTCATCCATAGCTCTTAAAGAAAGATTCTTCCTTTTTTTCCAGGTGCTCAGACCGTCTGAGTCACTCCTATTCTGTCCATGAAATAACTGACGGTTAACAGTATAAACTTTTCTTTCTTCACTTTTTGTTTTTTTCTTTCTTGGTGAGTCCCCAGGGGACACGGGGCAGCTTCGAGCTCTCAGTGCCCTAAGACCCTCCCCACCACACAAGGAAAGATATAGAAATGTCCCTTCCCTCGAAGTTGACTACCAGAGGATTCCTTGGTGAGAAAACCAGCACTTAATTTTAACGCACCTTGGGAGTTAGCTGCTACGTGTGAGAGTGACTCCAGCTTCTGATTCTCCACTTGTTCTCAGGGATTTCATTCAGAACATAGGTTGTTTTTGTTTAACTGGTTGAAATTTTTCGAAGGGATGCTATTTTTGAAGGGAGCAGATTCATAATTTGAAAGAGGAGCAGTTGTATTAGAATTTCAGAATCATCCTTTTAGCATTTGTTGGACGTTGAATACAACACACCGTATAGGTTAGGTGATTACAAGTTACTGCTCAATGACCCAGATTCCCTTCTGCTCCTCCCCCATCCCATTCTGCTGTGAAAGTTATGTTTTTGCTACTTCGTTGAACACAATGAGACTTTAAGAAAAAGAAAAGAGTTGGGGTGGATGAAAGCCCCAGAGCGAGGTCCCAGTGTGGACACGGGATTGGCAGTGGTGGCACATCCCTGTTGCCAGCATTAAGAAGGCAGTTTCTGGAGCTGTGCTGTTTTTTTTCCTTGGTTTAAGGCCTTATAGGTAATTTGAATATAAACAAAATATTAACAGTCCTGATAATTATAGGAAAATGACTCTTAAAATTATGATATTTATAAAGGCAAAGAAAAACCCCATAAGAAATTATACAATAAGTAAATAAAATTTGGGGGCCGGCCCCGTGGCTTAGCATTTAAGTGTGCGCGCTCCGCTACTGGCGGCCCAGGTTCGGATCCCAGGCGCGCACCATTGCACCGCTTCTCCGGCCATGCTGAGGCGGCGTCCCACATACAGCAACTAGAAGGATGTGCAACTGTGATATACAACTATCTACTGGGGCTTTGCGGAGAAAAAGGGAAAAAAAGGAGGATTGGCAATAGATGTTAACTCAGGGCCGGTCTTCCTCAGTAAAAAGAGGAGGATTAGCATGGATGTTAGCTCAGGGCTGATCTTCCTCACAAAAAAAAAAAAAGAATAAAATTTGTATAAGTATTGTTTAAGTGGAAGATCATTTGAAATGTGAATTTAAGTTTATGTAACTGTTGAATGCTTGCTAATCATGTTAAATAGAGAATGACAAAAATGTCTGAGGATTGCTGTGGAATAGAGGCATTTGGGAAGTAGTTTTGTATTCTGACTCTGGACCCCGTGGACCTGCAGTATTCGGTGGAAGGGATGTTTCTGTCCCTACATGCTCACTCATGATAAGGAGACAAGGCTTACCTGCAGAAATGCTTTAAAGTGACAGTGTAAAGGTAATAGCAAACAGGGTCACATGGTAAAAATCATCCAGAATCATCAATTATTACACTTAGACTGGGTGAATGTTATGGTATGTAAATTAAACCTCAACAGAACTGCTAAAAAAAAAAAAATTAATGGAGAAATGTCAAAAAACACAGGCACCAACTTGAAGGGTCTTTCCATGGCCAAATCTGAGACCATTTGAGCATAAAAATAAAAACTAATGAATTGTAAACAAATGAAAAGTATAGGAATCTATGCGTTGATTTTGATAACGCATAGAAAGATGAATGTGCCAGAAAGCCACACTGGTAAATGCGGAGATAGGCTCAAGTTAGGAAATCACTACTTTGTGACCATCAGAGTAGTGATCAGAGACGGTTTGGGAAGAACTGTCGATGGGTGCTGTCTAGGGAAGAAGGTGGGTCTTTGCACAGTCTCCGAGTGTCTCCTCACAGATTGCTTGTGCTTCGCAAGTGGAGAAACAAGCTCTGCAGTGGAGAGGCCGCCCTGACCAGGTGGTCCCAATGAACACTATCAAGGGGCCGATGGCTCCTGGGCAGCTGTTACCTGAGAAGCGGCACTCCAGCAGGAACCCAGTCGTGGATAGACGTCAGATAAGCCCAGAACGAGGCCATTTCTAGAAATGATGTCCCTCTTCAAAGACCATCTAATGAATTATAGTGGAAATACAGGTGATGACCTGGAGAAAAGTGTAGTCTTGGTTCCTAGGAGCTAGGCAGTTCTGAGTGGAAGTAGTAGTGTGCTAGGGAGTAATTGATTGAAGAGAAAGCTGAGCTGCCTGGGGACTCAGCAGCGATTGTTCACTGTTCCAGGGATTTGTGATTATTTCAAGTTGTGCGTTTCTTTAATGGCAGCAGCAGTAGTTTATTCGTATCAATGAAGCACTTAGATTTTTTTCTAATCATTGCTGTGTAGGCCGGCCCCGTGGCTTAGTGGTTAAGTGCACGTGCTCCGCTGCTGGCGGCCCAGGTTCGGATCCCGGGCGCGCACCGACGCACTGCTTCTCCGGCCATGCTGAGGCCGGGTCCCACATACAGCAACTAGAAGGATGTGCAGCTATGACATACAACTATCTACTGGGGCTTTGTGGGAAAAAATAAATAAATAATAAAATTAATCATTGCTGTGTGGTAGAGTCTTAAATCAAACCATCTCAGGAAACAGGGGAAATGCACAGCCAACACTCCCCTTTCTGCAGAGCGTTTGGGGTTGGGTGGTGTGGCCACAGCCTTCTCTGGTGGCCCTCACTGCCGCCAACAATGACCAGTCCTCAATCTATCACTCTTGTCCAGCTGGCCTCCAAGCCCAGTGGGCAGCACCGTGTCTGTCTCAAGCTATTTCCGCAGAGCAGGCCCCGCCGTGGGCACCTGGTAAATGCTTCTGGGGGGCAATTGCTGGCAGCTTCCAGTGATGGGTGCAGTTCCACGCAGTGTTAGCGTCTATCCAGCTTTTCTCAAGGCCGTTGACACGTGGTTTGGACACTCCAGAAAGAAATGGCCTTTGGGAGTTGCCTGCTAAGCTGTTTGGAACTTAGAACTCTTGCTGATCCCTGTGAGGCATTGCCTGTTGTTGCGCCTCTGAATGATTCTATAGGAAATCATCACGCCTCACCCTTTGACCCGTGCCGCCTCTTTCCAGTTTCTTCGGATTTGCGCCGACCTCTTCCGCCTGGTCCCCTTCTTGGTGTTTGTGGTGGTGCCATTCATGGAGTTCCTGCTTCCTGTGGCTGTGAAGCTCTTCCCCAACATGTTGCCGTCCACGTTCGAGACCCAGTCCATCAAGGTGATGGGGCGTCAGGGGCAGTGAGCTCATTTCAGAGCAAATGTGAAAGTAGTTATGATGGCTGCATTGTTTGTGATTGACGTTTCAGATGTTTTTGAGTTTCATGTTTTCTTCATAATTCAGTCATGCTGTGCTATGATTATTTAAGAGATACTGGGTTTTAAGGTTTGTTTCTCTTTAAATGTGTTTTAAAATATGGTTTCTCTAGACCATTGTTCTTCAAGCCACAGGTTGAGACCCATTCGTGGGGTAAGATCCATCTAGAGCAGAGTCAGCTGACCACAGCCCACAGGCCATGCTGGCCCCCACCCATTTTGGGCAGTGAGGTCTTTTGGGGCCACATGTGCCCAGTCATATATGTATTGTCTGGCGGCTTTTGCACTGCCCTAGTGGAGCTTTGCTGGCTGGCCCTTTTTGGAAAAAGTTTGCTGGCCTCTGCTCTAGGGGGCCACACAGATATTCTTTAAAACCATGAAACAGAAGAGAAAGTTTCAGAGTGCATCGCACCTGGGTGGGAGTGAGCGCTGTTCAGGAAACATCCGTGAGGGGTCCTGGGTTCCAGTGCTGAGGTTCCGGTGAAGGGAGTGGAAGCAGCTACTCTGACCAGTGGCATCCAGGGAAGTGGTGGGGGGCCGAGAGGAGGAGTACAGGACCCTCTCTTTGACCTCACAGGAGGAGAGGCTGAAGAAGGAGCTGCGGGTCAAGCTGGAGCTGGCCAAGTTTCTTCAGGACACCATTGAGGAGATGGCCTTGAAGAACAAGGCGGCCAAAGGGAACGTCACCAGAGACTTCGCTGTGTTTTTCCAGAAGGTGCTGTAACTCTCCATAGCTGCTTGTCCCACAGTGCTGGGTAGAGCCTCAGGGCTGCCTTACCTCTTCTGGGGAGCACTCCTCATTGCCTTTCTTCCCTGTTTTACTGGACACGACAAGAGCAGAGCTCCCAGGCGGCTGTTGGCTGCTGCTGTAGGGTTTGACCAGGAGGCTCCCCTGTGCACAGTGAGGTGGAGCCTGCTGTCCTGAGAACTTGAACCTTGCTGACATTCACAGTTGCTTGCCTATGTCTCCAGACTTCGCAGCAGCCCTGGGGGAGGTAGAGTTTGGCAGATGAGGAACCTAAGACCCCAAAGTTGTGACAAGTTCGTGGGCTGGGCTGGGCTGGGGGGAGGAGGAGACAGACTGTGAGGCTGCTCCATAGCTACAGCATCAAGAGGCCCATGGCCTCTTTCCAGTCAGCAGCCTTGGCTCTGCTGGTGCAGGCAGGAAAGGTCCAGGGGCCGATGCTGCATGCTGCACGGAAGCATCGCTCACAGGGAGCCCAGTGCAGGCAGCGCTCAGTGGTTTGAGTCTCTGAGAGGCAACTCCTCAGTAGGAGCATGGTGAGAAGGTAGATTTGAGGGAGGAGTGGATGGTCCAGGGCACTTCCATCCAGTTCTCCTTTGTTTCCTCACTTGAGGCATGTGGCCCAAGGCCAGGGGAGGTGCTGGGGACTACACACCCCACCTGGTAGGTAACCCTTACGATTGCTCCCACAGATCCGAGAGACGGGTGAGAGACCCAGCAACGAGGAAATCATGCGTTTTTCCAAGTTATTTGAGGATGAGCTGACCCTGGATAACCTCACGCGGCCGCAGCTGGTGGCGCTGTGTAAGCTGCTGGAGCTCCAGTCCATCGGCACCAACAACTTCCTGCGTTTCCAGCTCACCATGAGGCTGCGGTCCATCAAGGCTGACGACAGGGTGAGTGCCTCACAGATGTGGCTCTGCTTCCCTGGGTTTTCACCTTTGGTTTCTGGTTACAAAAGCAAGCGTCCTTATTGTGGAAACTCTGGGCCATGCTGAACAATAGAAGAAGGAACAATCACCGCTGGCCCTGTCGTTCCCAGATCGTGGTTGTCAACCGTTTGTGCCTCTCTGCCCACCCTGTGCTCTGTGTGCACACACTGAATGTGTGTGTTAGGGGGAGAGCGGTCTGCTGGAATAAAGGTTGGAATCACACAGCCAATACTATTTTTCACCTGGCCTGACATTTGGAGATCTTCCCATGGCACTAAGGATTCATTGAAAAGATGAATTTTAATGACTGCCTAATGTTTGTTATATGAATGCATCATCATTTATTAACTGTTACTTTAGCCGGTCTTTTGCCACCCTAAACAAAACTGTAATAAATATCTTTTAACATGGATTTTTGCCCCAGATCTTTGATAATTTTCAAAAAAATAGTGACTTGGGGCTCCTGAGTAAAAGGGCAGGAAGTCACAAGCAAGCCCTGGCCCACGATCAGAGTGCTCCCGGCTCCGCTGACCCCATGTTCTCCCACTCGGCCTACCCACAGCCGAGCGGCTGCACCGTGTGGACCCCGAGTGGGCTTCTCTCAAGAAGAATTCCTGAAACGCCCTCTTTTTCGCTAGTATTACTTCTTGCCTTAAAATCTACTCTGTCTGGTGTTCTGATAGCTATACCAGCTTTCTTTTGGGTCGATCTTCTTCTTTTTACTTTCAAGCTTCCTGAGACCTTATATTTGCAATGTGTTTGTTGTTTTCATCTGGTCTGACAACCTCTGTCTTTTAATTGAAGTATTTAGTTTATACTCTTTTTCTATTTGTCCCACCTGTTTTATGTTCTACTTAATTTCTTGCCTTCTTTTGGATTAAGTACTTTTAATTATTCCATCCCCCCTCCATTAGCTTGTTACTTATTATTTTAGCCTTTTCCTTAAACTTTACAACAGGCTGCCTTGATACTTTAGTCTAGTGGAATAAGTGCTTTTCCTGCCCACAGCAGTGCTGGCGCCTGGAGACGCCCCTCTGCGCTCTCAAGCGGGAGCTGACTCCTGTGCGCCACAGGTCTACCCTCCCTTTGCCTTCCCTCCTCCCTGCACATCCATCCAAACCATTTCCTCTACTTACAGACTTCCCTGGAACTCTTCTGTGCTGTGGGTCTGCCGTGAGGAATTCTCCCAGTGTCTGCCTGTGTGAATGTGTCTTTATTTCCCTTTATTTTGCAGGGTATTTTTGGCTGAGTGTAGAACTTAAGCCTTGCAGTTCTTTTCTTTCTGCACTTTAAAGATGCCACTGAGTCGGATGGCAGCTGGCAGGCCTGTTATTCTTCCTTTGAGGGTGTCTGTGTTTTCTCTGGCAGAGTCCAAGATTTTCGTTGTATTTGGACTTCAGCAGTTTTATAGTAATGGGCCTAGGTGTGTCTGTGTTAGTGGTAACCCTGTTTACTGATCGTAGTGCTTCCATCATCATTGAACCCTGCTCCCCGCCCCGTTCTCCCCCTCCTTGGAGACAGCATTCACGTCCCGCTTAGCCTTGTCTCCAGGTCTCGCACAGCACACGTGCTCTTTTCTGTGCTTCCTGGCTTCCTGTACGTTCAGTTGAGTAATCCTCTCTTTGGGGCCGGCCCCGTGGCTTAGCGGTTAAGTGCGCGCGCTCCGCTACTGGCGGTCCGGGTTTGGATCCCGGGCGCGCACCGACGCACCGCTTCTCTGGCCATGCTGAGGCTACGTCCCACATACAACAACTAGAAGGATGTGCAACTGTGACATACAACTATCTACTGGGGCTTTGGGGAAAAAAAAGGAGGAGGATTGGCAATAGATGTTAGCTCAGAGCCGGTCTTCCTCAGCAAAAAGAGGAGGATTAGCACAGATGTTAGCTCAGGGCTGATCTTCCTCACAAAAAAAAAAAAAGCAAAGTAATCCTCTCTTCTTCTTGAACCCATCTTCTGAGTCCTTCATTTCAATCCTAGAAATTCTGTTTTGGGGTTTTTTCCCTAAAGATTTTAGTTCTCAGGTAAAACTGTCCATCTTGTCCTCTCTCTTCTTGAATGTGCTAATCATGGTTCATGTCTGATTATTTCAGTAACAGCGTGACCTGTAGGGCTTTTTTTGTTTTCTTTCTTGGTTTTGTTTGTAGTATTTAGTTTTTCTCAAATGCAGACAGGGCCTATGGAAAATTGTGGAGGTTCTGGGTGGTGCCACCCTCTAGGAGGGGCCCGCCCAAGTCTGCTCTGCTATAGAGGGGCTGATTGCCCCCAGGATCACTAACCACAAATTGGGGTGGAGCCTGCCGTTTCTGGTTTGCTCCCCCCCAGGGTGTGGTCTGCAGTTTTGCTAGGCCCCTTCCTCATAGTGATACCTCCACACCATAGCCCGGGAGGGCCGTGCCCTGCTTCTCGGAGGCTTTCTGCCCAGCTCCTCACCTCTGCCCTGCTCAGCTGGAGATCCAGACGCCAGTGTTGCTTCCTGCACTTCCTTCTCCCTGGAGCTCTAGCCCTCGAGGCTTGTCCAAGCAGCCCCTTGCCTCTAGCTGTTATCTTCTTAGGCTGTCGAGATGTCTGCCTCTTAGCAGTAGCCTTTGTCCTGGGCTCTCAGCCTGCCCCAAGAGTTGGCAAATGCCACTGGGTCCCCAGTGTCTCACAGATGGACAGCTCACACCTCGTGGTTGTCTGGCCATTCCCAGTCTACAGAATCTTGCCATCCCCAAGGCTTGCTTGTCTTAGCTTTCTGATGCAGCCAAACGTGTGTTTGTGTTGTGTTTTGTCTTGTTGTATCTGGCTTTTCCATTTCTTCTCAGCAGGGCAGTGGTCTGATGAAAAAGACTCCCCTTCGTAGCTAGAAGTAGCAGATCATCACTGTGTTTTTGTAAAGATGAAAAGAAACCCTCTCTCCAGCGTGTGCTCGTGGGAGGGTGTTCAGGACATCCACTCTGCCAGAAAGTGAGGGGCTGACATGGGCAGTCCTCAACAGGCTGCCTCGTTCGGGGAGAGCCTGCGGTGTGGCTGCCCTTGCTCTCAGCTGCCCCACCTCGGGAGAGGCAGCTCGAGGGCAGGTGGCCTGGGGTTGAGTCCTGGCCACTCACTTGCTTTGTGACCTTGGACAAGTCATCTTACTGCTCAGTGCCTCAGATTCCTATGAAATGGGATAGCCACCAGACCTCCGCTGTCAAGAAGGTGGAATGGGTGTACTTTCTCCTGGACATTAAGTAAAAACCAACATAAGAAGACTCTGAAAAGTGGGGAGAAGACGCTGGGACCCCAGGAACGACACAGTGGGTCTTCTTTGTGCCTCATAGATCCCAGCTTTGGGGCTGAAGAAGCTGGCAATCTAGAAATGCCGCCAAGCACAACCTTTAAAAGCCCTGGTGAAAGCCTGCTCTCTCTGCCCAAAGGACAGGAAAGGATCCTCCTAGCAGGACACAAGACTTCAGACAATCACCACTCTACTCCAGCCAGACACCACAGGAAACACTGGGCCCCGCTCAATGCGATGATGGGTGGGGGCTGAGAACTCCACCCCCGCCAGGATGGTGTCAGGGAAGGCCAAGTAATGAGCTGCCTTCCCCTGTTTTGTCAGTAGAGACCAGCAAGAGGCCTGGACCTCTACCCGCACCTGACAGTGCCAAGACTGGGGTCAACAGGGGCCAGGTAGGGCCAGTAATGAGGTTTTCCTACCCCTCCCAGCTAGGGAGACCTAGCAGGGAGCTGGAACTCCCACCTACCCCTCCCAGACCTCTTTCCCAGGGCTCAATGGAGGCTGAATAGGGAACCTGGCAGTAATGAAGCAGCACTCCACCTTTTCCAAAATGTACCCGGGATGTAGTTTATGGGTATGACTGGGTGATGGCATGGAGCACTCAGTGCCATTGAAGGAGCTTATCACTCACAATTCCTCTAGAAATGGGGGCACAGCACCCACTCAGGGCCACATGAGACCTCGACACACCGGGGGACAGGAAGCAAGAGTGAGGGAGGGAGGAATCGGACTTGGCCTTTATTACTGGTGTGGCGGGTGTAGCCCGCTGGAGACGTTTTTGATTGGGCAGGAAGTGAAACATAAGAGGTTAGGGTTTGTGGTTGGAGGATTTGAAATATGATTTTCACGCACCCATGAAAGTCAGGCCGCAGGGGAGATGTAAACAACTTTGGCCGTTAGTTGGGATCAATAGATGCCAGATCATCAATTACACAATCTATAACAGTTGGGCAGAACAGCACCCCCTACTCCCATGCCAGAGGGGTGTCAGAGGGAGCCAGCTAAGACAGAAGACTGAAATAAGATCCAGAGTCTCTTAACATAATACCCAAAACATCCAGGTTTCAATTGAAATCACTCCTCATGCTAATAAGCAAAAGGTTCTTGAATGAAAAAAGGCAGCCAGTTGAGGTCAGCACTGAGACAGAGAGGTTAGAGAAAGCAGACAAAGATCTTAGAGCAGTGATTGCAAAAGTGCTTCAACAGGCAGTTACCAAGTGAGTCACATGAAAACATAGTCTTAGCAAAGAGAAAAACATCAAGGAGAACCAAATAGAAATTTAGGGTGAAAAATACAATCCAGAATACAAAACTCAATGAGCGGGCTCTACAGCAGAATGGAGAGGACAAAAGACAGGATCAGTGAACTTTTAAGATAAAACAATAGAAATCGCCCATTTGAACAATGGAGAAAAAATAGTGACAAAAATAAGCAGAGCCCTGGGGACCAGTGGGATTACAGTGGAACAGCTCACGTACGTGTTGTGGGAGCTCTGGAAGGAGAGGAGTGAGGGCAGAGCTGGAGAAGGACTTGAAGACATAATGGCCAAACAGGTCCCAGATTCGGTAAAAGACATAACTCTACAAATTTAAGAAACTGAGTGAACCTCAGACAGGATAAACACAAAGAAATCCATACCAAGACACAGCATAGTCAAACTAATGAACACTAAGGACAAAAATAATTTTGAAAGCAGTGAGAGAGAATGGCGTCTTACCTACGGGGAAAACAACTCGAACGACAGAGGATTCTCATCAGAAGCCATGGAGGCCAGAAGGAAGTGGAACAATGTGTTTCATGTGCTGAATAAAAAGGACTGTCAACTCAGAATCCTGTGTCTAGTGAAAATATCCCACAGGAATGATGCAGAAATCAAGACATTCTTTTTTTTTTTTTTTTTAATAATTTTATTTATTTATTTTTCCCCCAAAGCCCCAGTAGATAGTTGTATGTCATAGCTGCACATCCTTCTAGTTGCTGTATGTGGGACGCGGCCTCAGC